TAGATAGATAGATAGATAGATAGATAGATAGATAGATAGATAGATAGATAGATAGATAGATAGATAGATAGATAGATAGATAGATAGATAGATTTCCTTCTTTACTAGTGCCACATAAAGGAGCATGTATTTGTGGGATGAGCAGTAGAGCTGAATATGTGGGTTGCRTGTATAAAAAAATTGCCAAATCTTCTTTGCCATATCCAAACAGCTTATTCTGATGTTGCTATTGACACTTGTTTCAAGCTTTTGGTACACCCAGGTGCTCCTAATCTGGTGCCCACTGCAAGATTTATTGCCAAGAAGCATTGTTGTACTTATGACAAAGAAATGATTTACCAAACACCAGTTTCTGTACTTTTTGTTTTATCCATATATACAGTCAGAGCAGGAGAGCAKCAGAAAGATTGGGAGGGGAATAAGGAGAGAAGGGATTGTTTTAAAGCTCAACGACAAATTCTGCTGATGACAAAGCTGAAGAAATAATCTCAAGCTGTGGAGGAAGTAAATGATTATTAGATAGAGGTTGGTGGTAGGGGTGGGGGTAGAAGGTGTGGAAATAGATTGTGGTGTTAAATCTCTTGTCGTCTCCTAACTACACCAGAGAAAATATTGAGATTGTCTTAGTGGCAAGCCCTGGGTGAAATGGATTTAAACGTTGAAGGATCGTACTGCCTTTTCACAGTGCAAACAATCGTGACTGAAACTAGGCAGGTTAGCACACAGATCCATAGATATTACATAAAGTGCCGTGCCGTGGAACATCAGCACCAGTCGATAGCGGAGCAGCGCAGCTAAAAATATCTAACTTCCATCTTGGCTGATTCTCTGATAAAGGCTTTAACTCGAACAAGGTGCATCCACGGTTAGAGAAACATTGTGCAAAAAGATTAACACTGACAATTTTATTACTGTTAAGAGACAGATACAGTGCCTAAAGGTGTACTAAAAGTACTTATACCCCCTTACATTCTTTCTATTTTGTTTCCTTACAACCTGAWTTTTAGATACAATTTTATTTTATGATCAAACTTACATAAATTACAAAATTACTAAAGTTAAATGATAAAAAAAATATATGAAAATTAGTATGTACTCATATTCACTAACCTTGTTTGAAATTACTTTCTAAAACYACATATTTAATAAAATAAGGTCCAAACCCATCAAATAATAGGAATCAACACCAAATACAACACCTCTCAGCAGCGCAGGCTAAGCAGGAGACATCATGAAGACCAAGGACTTCTCAATACAGGCCAGAAACAAAGTTGTGGAGTAATAAGTATCCCAGAACACAGGAGGTCCCAGAAAGCCCCATTGAATCTATTATTAAAAAATGAAAACAATATACTCCCACAGCAAACCAGCCAAGAGAAGTTTGTCCACCAAAGCTCAAGGACTGAGCCAGGAGGGCATTAATCAGACCTATGATAGAGCTGAGGAGCTCGTCTGCAGTGATGAGAGGATCTGTYCATAAAACCACCATAAGCTGTACAGGCTTTGTAGAAGAGCGGCCTGGAAACAGTTTCTTAAAGAAAAAAATAAGACGAAAACAAGCTATTTTTAAATCACTACATTTTATTTTAGAGACTACACCATCCAAACATGTGGAAGAAAATGTTGTAATCTGAGACTCAAACTTTCAGACCATCAAAGACAACAACATCTCTGAGGCAAATCAAATACCRCTCATCAAGCTGAGATCAGTGAAACAKGGTAGTGGCAGCGTCATGTTGTCCAATTTTTTTTTTCAAAGCAAAAGGAAAGATGAAAGAAGCAAAACCTAGAAAGAATCTAAAGAGAATCTTGTTTGATTCTTACAAAAGTTCCAGACTGAGTCTGTGGTTGACCCARTGCTGGGCAATGACCCTGAACACACCCCTGAAGCAACCCTCCTTGAGGAGGAACACTGAAATATCCTGGAATGGTCCAATCAAAGCCCAGACTTCAATCCAACCGAAAATCTCTGGTTTGATTTAAAGATTGTTCAACACAACAAGTCCCCATCCAACCTGAAGGAGCTGGAAAAATTTAATGATGAAAAAAGAACAAAAAGTCTAGACGTTAGATCAAGGGTATTAAACTAATTTTATGGTTGCCCTTAAAAGGTCAGTTGCATTTACTTTTGACAATTTCTGCTTAATTTTGACTAAAAACACAAAATGTCATGTTCCTTGTCTTGGTGCTGTGGCTGAGCAGCACTAACAACCAATAACTAAGCTCTATGTGCTATTTTGTTTATGGAAAAAGCATTTTAACATGTCCTCTAACAAACACTGGAAAATACGACTGACTAAAAGTGAAGTAAACAGTAAAGAAATGCTAATGAAAGTAAGAGAGTTTTACGCACTGTTGAGTTGTGGTGAACAGTTGTCATCTTGAATTCTGAACTAAACAGGGAATTCCCACTGGCTGGGGTGTTCCAGTGTTTACAGCTTAAATGTGAGAAATTCTAATGGAAGTCGTAAAATAAAACTGAAATTCCAGAATAACTGGGCCGCAGTAAAAGTAGCTGGCAAAAATGCAGCTAAATGGAGATTTTACACTGCAAATTTTGCTGGCTGTTGGGAACCGGCTACTTTTGAACCCCGTGCACAGCCACCATAGTGGTGTGATGCTGTCATGTTGCAGGTAAAATAATCCACATGCATAATGGAAGATGTTGCTTATAGTCAATATTTGCTTTAAAGCAGCATATGCCAATTTTAAGTTATTAATACATCTTTAAAGCTCTTGCGGGCCACATAAAATGTCGTGGTGGGCCACATTTGGCCCGTGGGCCTTAAGTTTGACACGTGGGTTAGATAGGCTAAAAGACTGCGAAGAAAAACCTGAAGAAATCCACTGCTGTGGCTGCTGCTGAGGGTAGCTTTGAGTGGGGCTGTGAGTAAACAAACAACAACATTAATATTAATTTATTCCAGTTTGTAAGACAACAAAACAGAGATTACAGCAGGGTGGTGAATACTTCTGCAGCCCTGTTCATTATCTGCAAATATTCACTTCAGAAGTTTATAAGAAAACCTATGKTTCGACTATACAACCTGCAAGAAGATGTCAGCGAGTACCTAAAATAATTAAAAGCAATCAAGTACAGAAACAGAGCAATAAAAACATTTATTTGTTAGATATTCCAAATGTTTTATGGCCTATTACTGATACCAGTGGAGATATTTTGATATTTAAGGACACACTCTATTTTATTGGACTGTTATGGGACACAAGGATCACACTGCACCAAATCTTCTCCCGTGCATTAATATTGCAAAGAGTCTCACATGTGCAGCTTCCAGGCTGTTTGCCCTCGTGAGTCTCTTAACATGTTTGGGGGGTAGCGTTCGATAATCTCCCCATCATAGCTTTATTTACAGCCTCTCCACCGACCTGTAGAAAAACATACGGTATGAAATGATTTAGAGAAGCACTCCCAGCCGCTTTAATTGGTGTGAGCAGAATTCACAGCGACTAATCAACATGGCAGCTTCCCATCATGGATTTA